CATTGAGTTTTGAACTTAACATGGCCTCCGATGGTATAAAACAATTACACGATGCATCGGGAGCCCCGTGACCGCGTGGAGCCGTCTTGGGGCGGTCTTGGAGCGTCTTGCACGCATGTTGGGAGCTATATTGAGTCATCGAGGGCTATCTTGAGCGATCTTGGAGGTCACCTTGAGCTCTCTTGGGCCCTCTTGGCGCCATCTTAGGCCATCTTCGGTGACCCAACGACCCGCGAAACGCCCCTTCCAGGCCCAGGGGGAGGGGGTAGGGGGAGGGGTAAACCCCTCCCCCAAGGGGAAGAAGGGGGTTGAGGACAGAGAGGGCTCTTTAAACCACTCACGCCCAAAGGGCTGGTGGGATTTTTATATTGTGTTTTGGCCATTGCGTGCGCTGCAGAGATGTGTGTGCATGGTGAAGGCCACGTTGGCTTTTCTCGGGCCGACGTCTCCATGTTGCGACGACGTCTCAGGCGAAACGGCCCCAAGCGGCCCTGCAAAGGCACCAAGGGTGAAGCAGAATGGCTTCCCCATCCTTCCCACAGTCTATCTTGGGAGTTCTCCGGAAACAAACGAACTGTCTATCTGTCGCGGCCTCGCCGGTCGCTGTCGCGCCGTCGGCGAACGTGCTTGGTTGCGTACTGCGCATCTGTCTGGCCACCCGCCGTCGCCGTCGCACCGAAAAAATTGCGCGCCACGCATGGTTGAACTTCACTGTCCACGGCGCGCCCATCGCACATCGCACAACTTTTTACAATAACTTCTCAATAGTTCCGCGCGGCGGACAGATCGTTTTTGCGCATCTGTCCCCGACGGACCCGTCGCCGCCGCATCGGGGTGATCATCGTTGGGGGAACCCCCTCATTGTGTGTGTGGAGGGGGGTACGCAGATCCAGTTTAAAGGTGGCCACGCCTCCCTGCACTGCGTAACTGTCGCCGCTTTCGCGAGCCCCTTCTCCCCTCTCCCTTGTCTTCCGGAGCGGTTCTGGCTCTCAGCAGGCGCTGCATCTCGCGCACGCGCACTAGCGTGCGCCAGGGGCCAGGGCCAGAAGATGGTGAAAACATTTACCATCGAGGGCAGCGACATTGTCCTCAAAAAAAAGAAAAGTTGCATGCACGTGTGGTTGGATCCTTTCTCCTGCTGGTCTTACCTTCCGTACGCGACGCAAGAGCAGATGATCGGCACTAAGGGCGAGGACGATCCACATGGGGCTGGAGTTACAATGGCGGACGCCTGCACAGCATCCAGCATCATCGACGATTTAAAAACATACTTCAGCTGGTTCGAGAATGAGCTCGACGCAGGGAAGTCCATCGTGGCACAGAAGGCCCAGGGGCGCGACGCTACGCGAGTGCCGACTCCAAAGGGCGACGCCTACAAAGGCTCGGAGACCATCTGGCCCAGATCGTGGCTCTTCGTCAGCGTGATTTCAGATGAACCGACATCGCCAGACCCTTATGCAGGGAACTCGCACTGGACCAGGAGCCTGGACACCGAGCAGAGCGACAATACCTACGAGAAGAACGACAGTACCGATGAGCGCAAGACCAACAAGTGCGGCGAGGTGTCAGTTACGGTCTTTGTCCAGGAGAAGGACGATTGGATCAAGATAAACCTCCCCGTGCCCGACGCCTCGAGCAGCAGCGGCGATGGGATGATGGCAGGGTTCCACAACGTGATGATTCTCAAACGCTGCGTGGCCACGACATTGAAGCTCGACTGTTCCAAGGAGAAGGTCACTGAGTACCGCGTCTATCGGGCAACTCCTGGCGGCCTGGCGACTGGGTCGGCCATGAAGGCTAACATCTTGATCAAACCGTGGGGCATGTACGTATGCGCGCTGAAACCAGACAGCGAAGTCGAGCTCGATGACGGCAGCAAAATGCTCGGCAACGAAATCGTCATGATCGAGGATTCGGACCCGGAGGACCTCATGGACCGTGATTGAGCCGATCCTTTGTGGAGCCATGTGACGTGAGCCGACGTTTGGTCGCTCACCCTTCGTGGGCTCTGTGCTAAGCAGGGCCTGGCGCGTCTTTCCCGCGTCGCGCGACGCCGTGGGACATAAGAGGAATGAGTTGCCCCGAGGAGTGACCGCAACGCAGAAATCAACTCCACACCCGACATGGCCCCATAAGGCCCCAAGAAGCCCACCATAAGGCCCCCATAGCACTGCGTAACTGTCGCCGCTTTCGCGAGCCCCTTCTCCCCTCTCCCCTCGAACATTTCGTAGGACACGCGAGTGGCAGTACGCTGCACGTCTCATGTTTGAACGGGCCTCCTGGGGGCCTCTTGGGCGCTCTCGGCGGTCTCTTGGGCCGCTCTTGGGAGCCTCTCGGGGGCATCTCGGGGGCCCTTGCGGGCCTCTTGGGGGCATCTTGGGGGCCGCCAAAAGCTCCCAGAGGGGTCAAAGAAAAACAAAAATCTTAGGGCTCTCTCGGGGGCCTCTCGGGGCGCTCTTGGGGGCGTCTTGGGGCGCTCTCGGGCGCCGACCAAAAACCC